GTGTGTGTGTGTGTGTGTGTGTGTGTGTGTGTGTGTGTGTGTGTGTGTGTGCGAGTATGTGTGTGTATGTGTGTGTGTTTTCATATGTGTAGGTGGGTGTGGATCTCTCATCTGCAACATGTGCATCCATTTGATTACCACAACTACTACACAAAAGATACCACCGTGACAACCGCCTTGTTCACAACCGCGTACCAGTTGGCGATCCCGCTGCAGCCAGGCCATGGCCTCGGCTTTGGGGTAGTAATGAGGGGTATCCCTGGAATACCAGATCATCAATCTTAACTATAAACGGCTGGTCACAAAGTATCGCCTCAGGACTCAGCATAGACGCGAGAAACTCCGACGAATACCCAAATAAGGGTCCAAAACTCGCACCCCCACCGTTGCCCCCACCCGAATGATGGTGGTGTCCCGAACTTCCACTACCGCCCCCTGCATCGCTTGTGCTCGCGTGCGAACCGCTGAGCGTGTTTGGGCCGTTGCCATTGTGCTGTATATTCGCAGGTGTAAAGTGGGAAGGTGACTATGCAAGTACATGTAATTAGGTGTGTTGAGTGCTGGCTATTAAGTCGCAGAATATAGCCACCAACAGAAGTTGATGTGCGGTCGTAAGTTCCTTTTGTATTGACTACTGCATTCGCAAGTTGCTTGTGAGTGGTAAGTAGGCCTTGCGAACGGTCATTGCAACCTGAATAAACTTTACAGTCACTCGATAGGAGGCCAATTGTAAATGACTATAAGGATATACTTAAGACATTCCCAGATACCACCAGACGAGTGATAGAATACTGGTACACACTATAGTCGAAGAATGAATGCGATCATGATATGGGTGCATGTTGGCACACCAAGAACATCGCCCAAGCACAGCTGGGCATATGTATGGCACTGTTACTGTGAATCGTACTTCAATCTGTGTACTTGTACTATCGTAGACTTTTAGGCAAAATATAGTCATTGTTTTGATATATGATACAGGCGAGTGTCTTCAGCATACTTGTCACACTCACTCACCCACTCACCCCAAAAGCGCCTATATCTCTTAAATCTGTACCTGTGTGATTGTACCAGGAACTACCTACCTGACCACGTGAAATTTTTTCTTCGCTCATCGGGCGTGGCATCAGGAAGGCACTGACGGGTGCATCCGATGCATTGTGTATATTGCCTTCCGCATCATTAGTTGTTATACTCCTTCCACCAGCCGAGCGCTTACCTGCATGGAAGTGTGAGTGCGCATGCGAGTGTAGTGGAAGTATATATATAAATATATGAGTCCGTAAAAAAAATGATCCTTCTCGTTGTCCGGAAAATTGAATCATCGCTAGTATACCTCACTCACGTATTCATCGCTAGTATACCTCACTCACGTATTCATCGCTAGTATACCTCACTCACGTATTCATCGCTAGTATACCTCACTCACGTATTCATCGCTAGTATACCTCACTCACATCCTATATAGTGGAGCCAGTGTGTGCTTCATACAAGTATATACCTCGCTTACGGCCAGATGCACCCGCAGATGTCGCGGTCCCAGCATTAACATTCCCTATACTGGATTTAGCTGTGATATTCCTATCCCCACCAGCACTAGTAGCACCATGAGCAGCTTTATTCGATTTGTGTCTCTGACTGAGTGGTGGCCATTGTTCGTGACCCGGTTCTGGGGGATATCTGAATACTAAGTTTTGGCCTCGGCTGCTGCTGGTTACTAAGAGTATACTGAGTACACGTGGTAAGGTGCAGCGTTCGGTCCCTTCCCCCGACATGCCTATTATTTGTTTGTTGTGATTGACTCTCCCTGGAAGTGTATCATGTGCAGTTTGCTCGGATAGCACCGCAAAGTCTGGCTTTATAACTAAAAAGGCTTATCACAGCAGAAATATGTAAAAAAATTCAGTATGTACAGAGTAAGTGCATAAAATGATCTAAATTGCAAAGTTAACCCAACTTTCAACTCCCGCTCTAGGGTTTGAAAATAAATATCTTGTGTTCTTTTTTTAGGAGGCTATGTTTTGTTTATGTTTATGTTTTTTATATGTGTTGACTTACTACCATCTAAGTGGTGGATCTATCTCGATGCGATATTCATCCTTTATCGGCTCTGCTACCCATGCTACCCAAGCTGGCTTCAAATCACGGTACTCCTGTCGTACGCAAGCACTTGCCGCCATGGAATCTGAGACACAGTCAGAAGAGGAGTGGAACGACGTCTGTCTGGACATAAGCAATGCATACGACAAGGTCGCTCTCCCACGCCTATGGGTACTTCTGCGTCACGCTGAAATGCCCGAAAACTGGATCAACTGCCTCTGCGCGCTGTTTGAAAGGGTCCCTACCCGAGTGACATACCGCGGTACGCTCTCGTCTCTATTCCATAGAACAAATGGCATCCTACAAGGCTCAATCGTCGGCCCCCAGCTCTTTATTATCTACATGGATTCCTTAGCTGTTACGCTAGCACAATTTAGGCCCAAGCTCCCCCGCTCTTATTTATTTGTCGATGACACACGGATCCAAGCCCCTCGATCGGTTTCGCTCCAGCCCTTCTTAGATGACATTGATGCGTGGGGACGCAAATCTGGCCTCGAACAGGGTGTCATTAAACCGCGAGTACGATCTACCGACTTGCGACACGCGGCGCCAACCCTCCGTATAAATGGTGAGCTTATCACGCCGACGCTTGCAGACGCACCTTGGAACACACGTTACCTTCCACTAAAACTGGCGCCCACATATACCGAACCGAACTCCAAATACCTGGGGTTCCTACTCTCTCACGGAGTACCAGGAATCAACCTCGCTAAACATATGGAATCCCTGGTTGCAGCATTGTCACTGGGTATCGCCTCTTTCCGCGCTTATGGCTTCTATGGCTTCAGCTGGCGACACCTCCGCAACCGACTGGTGATGTTCAAAACATTCATCCTATCCACGGCTACATATGGGCTGAACATTATTGCCTGGGCTCCACCTATATGGAAGGATGCGTTGAACCCCCTATTCGAGCGCTTTAACTCAGCACTCATCCAAGCAGCTGCCGTCATCACGGGCACTAAATACCTTCGGTTTCCCAAACATCAAACAAACTTACTTCACTTTTGCGGCCTGCTCCCCGCGCGACCATTCACGGACTACCTCGGGGGTTGCCTGGGAATACAACTCGACTCAATGGCAAGCACAAATCCACTTACCCCTCTGACGCAACCCACCTGGGCCCACGATAAACCATCACTGCGCTTCCCGTACAGTATCTATGCTCACCTGAAAACTGTACACAAAACCATGGGCGGGCGTACACCCGACCATGTAGCCCTCCGCCAACGCTGTGACCACATCAGGAAGAACTCAACAAAACGTTGGTCCAACAAGGAGATCGCGGCAATGGCCCGGCGCCAATACTACTACCAACTGGTTATGGGTAAACCGCCAACCTCAAACCGAGACAAAGCCAAAAACGACAGCTTCAATCGCTGCTTCGATCCTGCACCAATCCGGCTCTGTGCTATGATTGTAACGAATATGTACATGTTTACATTGCTCGAATACCGCACCGACGGCTGTCTCTGCCCTGTCTGCCCCGGTAGCCACAAGTTCACTACCAGTCACTTTACCTGCATCCAACAACTGATTCGCCGCATCCTGGTAGGCCCGAAACTGCCGCCCATTGGCCCTGACCTCCTTCAGCAGTTACAGGAGTGCCACGACTTCCACGATATCTGGACCCTCCACGAACACCTTGGATCTTTTCTCCAGCATGTTGACGAACCACCGTACCCACACCCGTCTCTGACACATCAACAGATGTTCCCCATACCCCGGCTAATGACACTGTTGAAGTACTACTTCCAAATATCGGTTCAACCCAAATCATCGCGCTTGTTGGTTCCGACTATGATACTTCAGATCCAGGCCAGCCAACACATACAGAATTCATCCGTGGTCTGGTGCGGCATTGGCTTATCCCCATCCTCGCTTCTCGACCGGATTATGACGGATAACCTGGTCCTTCTCGGTATTTCGTACTCTGTACTAACCCATTCCACGGCACTACACGGCGCAGACCCGGTCCGTACCATAGAGATGGGTACTCTACTTAGTATGTCAGCAAGCGAATATATTGAACATTCGATAGTAACAGTGTTTTGTCAATACCGGCCCGAATTGACTCAGCACATATCTTCCATTGTCGACTCACTTGGCCCAAGCTTCAAACGGGAATTTACTGACCACTTCTTCCCATCAATCTTTCCTGAACCACTACAGCAACTATGAGAGCCATACCATATGTTCATACATTGTATCATGCATACTTGTCATTTTTGAAATAAATAATATTATCCCTATTGAAGTATATCTTACGGTGTGCATATGTTCTACTTCCTTTGTATTTACATGTAGACTTCTGATGTAGTTCCACGCTTGGATTATTTGTGTACAATTATTGTCCCTTGACTACGGCTGTCTGTCGCAAGTGTAAAACGCTACGGCAGCTACTTCACTGAACTGTGAGATGAACAGATGAAAATGGGAGTGGTGGGAGGGACGTGAGAAGAACAGATGTGTAAACTTCGATGGAAATTACTAGGTTTCAAACTATATTAAACTAAAATACAATTTAGTCAGTTAGGATTTAGCAGTGGTAGCTTGTGTAAGAATGATCGGGACTGTCTCGTGTTAAGAGCCTAAATATCCTCGATCACACAGGGCGTACCTCTAGCTGTTCTCTATTGAATAATTTTCGCTAGAAGTACTAAGCGTTCATGACCACATGTCTAATTTGTAGATAGACATAAGAACGTAAGTCAGGTTAATACAATATCTAATATAAATAAAGTTCCATCTGAAGAAAAGTTAAAAAAAGAAAAAGACTTATTGGATTTTAAGGAATTGGCGGGAAGACCAACCCCTGTAAGTAGTAGTTCAGAGATTATAAAATTTAGTTTATAATATCCTACATCTACTAACGTCTCAAATAGGCCCAGGTAAATGAGTCATACCAAATACTCAGGCTATTGGAGCCATCAAAGTGAATTTAGAACACTTTGGAAATATTGGAAAAAGAACTTGTATTAAATTATTTTAAATACAAATAAAAGCCAATGTG